TAAAAAAGGAAGGTGATGGGGTATAAAATGATTTAGAAAAGAAAATTGGATCCCAAATTTGGGGAGGAGTATGGAAGAAGTGAATGTTTTTCAGATTTAATGTACTTGGGAGTTGAGTGTGGGGATGGTTTTTGAAGGATGAGGTTAATCATAGAAATGTGAGGGAAAAAAGGTGAGTGGTGCGTTGGGCATATGTGGAGACAAAAAAGTTATCTATGGAGGCAAAGAAAGGGGAATGTATGGGGTGTGAAGTTGGTTGTGAATGCGCAGCGAGGGGGGGAGTTTGGGGCTGGAGATGTCCTGTCTAAGGGCAAAGTGTGGTGTAAATTTATGCAGAAAATTTGGAGTGGGAAATTAGGAGAAGGTGTGGAGTTAATAAAATTTAGCAGAGGGCTGAAGAGGGGTTTTTGAGGTGGTTTGGTATTTTAGAGAGAATGAATCAAAGTGAATGAATGGAGAGCGTTTTTTAAAACTGTAGGGGAAGGAAGGGGGGGGGGAGGGTTGTCCTCGAAAAGGTTTGGGAAAGGGGTTAAGGGGGGTTTTTGGGGCGGGGGTTGGACTTCCCCAGGCGTGCAAAGAGGTGTTAAATAGGACGAATGGTATTTGGGACCTGGATCGTTGGAGTGTGAGCAGGGTAACATTTAGGAAGGGATTTAGGAAAAATGGTTATTTTTATTGCCGGACCTGAGTCCTGGAAAAGGGAAGTATAAAGCCTGCACTCTAAAAGGGGGGGTTTGGGATACTGGCAGTTTGGAGGGATATGTTGTGTATTTTAATGTATATGCTTCTAAAAATGTTGTGTTCTGGAACCCATGCAAAACATGATTATGTGTGAGTGAGGTGAAAATGTTTGAATGATGATGAAAGTATTTTCTTTTTGGGGGTTTTCTTTCTTTCTGGGTCACCCTGCCTCGGTGGGAGACAGCCCCAAATTGTTAAAAAAAAAAAAAAAAATTATAAACATAAAAAAATAGAAGCATAAACCCCTAAGGGGTATGAATTTTCTAAATACAGAGTGAGGACATATGAAAAGGATATTTGTTACGTTTCCTCCCGCATTTGACTAGAGAAAAAGTAAATTTTCCGACCCCCTACCAAGGCCCCTTTGTAAACAAATCTATTTTATGTCAATTTTTATTTGTGGGTGTATGTTATTTTTTTGTATCTATTAACTGTTTTTATATAATTTTTAAGAAAATATATAGAGGTTAAAGAAAAAGTTATATTAAAATAAAATAAGACACTTAATGTGCCCAAGGAGTTTTTTATTAGTAGATTTTTTATGGAGTCATGAGTAGAGAGACTTTAGTGATTTTAATGTGTACCTACATGCCAGCCAGTGTGTAAGTATATTTAGGTAAGGTACACATAAAATAATTATCAGAGGAATATAAATACACAATAACTTTAAAACACTTGAAATTTTGTAAAGTTTCCGAATAATAGATGTGTCACGGAGAAGTTTAAAAAAACGGGGTGGGGGGAAGCCGTATTTGAAAAACCGCTGCCCCTATAGCAATTTTGGTTCCCAAATTTTAAATCCCGTATTAGGGAACGTGTAAGGCAAAAACGCCCTAAGGAAAACCCCCTAAGCAAGGCCACTGTTTCAGTGTAAAACCCCTGCATTTATGGTTCATGGTGCTTGGATTTTGTTGGTTAGATACTTTATTTAAGTGCTGGATGTATGGTGACCTAGTGTTGCTTGTGCTAGTACATACTTTAGAAATGTTTCAATGCAACCTTTTTGTCTAACCTATTTTAATGCTACCCAAGTAATAGCTTTTATACGCTTCCTCATGTGCAAGTTGAATGTTCTACCATACTGTATTACTACTACCATAGCTTACACCTCACTCTATCCCTATACATACCCTCTGTGCCCATGTTTTGTTTGTAACGGCTTGAAGCTCCTGGAGAGCAAAACGTTGCCACAATAAAATGTCACATTAACTGCATTTGTGTCCTTTTACTTAACAAAATCAGAAACTCTCTGCCAGAAATCTCCAGTACTGTCTCAGCCATTTATTTTCAAAACTATCATTAAAAAACGCCTTCTCTTCCTAACGTATCCAGTATCAGCTAAATATACGAAAACTACATTTCCATTTTCCCAATTTGTCATGAACACATGTAAAACAATATAATCTTATTCTCAATATTGGTAACCCTCCCAAACATAAAACACAGACTGTGTCCACTTTATGTTAATATGCAAAATTTGCTCATCACCTATAATCATAATCAAACCCTGTAATTTCCTTATCCCTTTGACTGTCACAACCACAAATCCTGAAGTGTCCCTGGTGTTCAAAAAAATTTTAAAAAAAAAAAAAAAAAAAAAAAAAATTCCTTTAAGAAATGATACAGAATCTTTACCCGATGGTAATGACACCAAAAGTAGGAAATTTGATAAAAATTTTACAGAATTATGCTCCCGCTAAGTTAGCGATCTCGGTGGATATATACGCATCTGTGATTTCGCTGACTTTGAAGCCCTATTTTCAGCCAATTCATTGTTCCAGTCGACCAAACTCATAGCTATTTTTTTAGAACTCCAATTTTTTCTATCAACTGAGTACATGAAAACTGCCCATTTACCAATTTCAACTACCCAATACAGTGGTCAGAAATTGGCAATTTGGCCCCAATTTCATGCAAATTAAAAAGATGCCAATTTCAAAATAGGGTCCAGAATAAACAATGCAGGCATTTTGGCACTTAAATAACATACCCTTTGTTCATCAGTTATGTCCCCGGCCACTCTTTATTACGCTTGCTTTCTATTTTGAATTTTTATTCATACAAAAAATGGGAAGATTACTGTTATGCAGACTACTGCATTATTGTAAAAAATGGTATGAATAATTCAGCACATTTGTGAAAGAACATCATACCCGTGTGATTTGTTTACTCTTGAATATCTGCAAAAATCGAACATTTCTGCTATTTTGAGCTCAATTTCAAGGTACTTTTAGTCGTAAAACCATTCAAAAATCACCTCTATTTCTTTTAATATATCTTCCATTCTATCAAATGAGACAAGAAAATGAGAATATGTTATAAATACCGTACAAAAATACACTGCAAAATCTCTGTTTTAAACCAAAAACACAGTCGGAGTTTTTTTCTCATTATGCACTGCGTGCTGCAGGATTTTTTTTATACTGCACACACTCACCACTCAGACCCATTCTCTCATAAGTAGGCCTACCAGCTTTCTCCCGCAAGATTGGAAGCCACTAGAATTTTGGCGTAGTATTTACGGGGGGCTGACACTGGCTTTCAAGCTGTAATATTACAGGACCGACAGTGAATGGGTTAATAGCGTAGGTCTGATGGTGAATGGGAGGTGAGAAGGGCTACTTGCAAAATACAGCAGCTATGAATTGGCACAAAAAAGGATTTAAGTGGGCAAAAAATGCAATTGCATAAAGTGCTCCCAACTTCCAACTATGAGTTTTGAGTAATTCCTCACGTTTTATGTTAAATTTTGATTTTTTCTGTTGTTACCTTCAGAAAAAATGTTCTTTAGAAAATAAAATTATTTTTTAAACAAAATGCCACAGAAAAGGGGTTTCACTTTGGGGGTGCTAACAATTTAACCCTTTCAGGTCCGTCCCGTAGATCTACGGGGCTTTACGTTCAGGGTTCAAACCGTAGATCTACGCCATGAGCTAAGCTCACTCTGATAAACTGTGAGTGGTTTCATTCGGGCCTAGATATGAGAGAATCATCTATGTGGTATGTGTGCACCACATAAAACAAATCCTGCAGCACACTGTGTATAATGAGAAAAAAAAAAACGAGACCATGATTTTCGATTAAAAACAGCGACTTTGCAGGTTTTTTTTTCGTATGTTTTTTTAGTTGTATTTGCGATTTCTTGGTCTCATTTGATAGAATGGAAGACATATTACAGAAATAGGGGATGATTTTGATTGGTTTTAGCATTGGAAATGGCTTTTGAAACTGACCTCAAAGTGAAGAAATGTTAATTTTTGCCGATGTTCAGGAGTTTAAAAAAACGACCTCACACGTCTAATACACACCAGCTGGTGGGTCTAATATACATCATAAATGTGGTGATGATATTTAAACAATTATTACAATATTGCATAACAGTAAATCTTCTATTTTTTTGGTGTGAAAAAAAAATTCATTATGTGAATAAAAAATCAAAATGGAATTTATTTGTAAAACCTCAAAAAATAACTAATGAACAGAGGAAATGTTAGTTTTGTTCCCGGAATACCTACATTGTTTATTCTGGACCCTATTTTGAAATTGGAATATTTTGAACTTTGTGTTAAATTGGCCAAATTACCAATTTCTGATCACTTTAATTTGTAGTTGAAACAGTTGACTTGGCAATTTCTTGTGCTCAATCAATAGGGAAAAGAAGTAATACTAGTGAAATAGCTAAGAATTTGGTTGACTGGAATAATGTAATTGGCCTTTAAAATTTGGGAGGGCAAAAAAAAGTTGGTTTAAAAAACGCAGATTCGTAAATATCGCTGACACATCAAAATTCGCAAAGCATAATTTCGTCAATTATCCATCAAATTTCGTACTTTTTGTTTTATTACCTTCACAAAAAGATTCTCTACCATTTCATAAGAAAAAATAATTTTTTTTTTTTTTTGAAAATTCTTGGACACTGGGGCACCACTTCAGATTTTGGCATTGGACCCTGAAGGGGTTAATAGTTAAGGGCTAATATACTAGTGCAATGTTGAAGCTAGGGCAGATTATAAAACAAACCAGAGAGGGCATTCAAGGTAATACCCAGCAAAGATAATTCTATGAATATATTTAACAGTTAAGTATCTGGTTAGATACATAACTGATTCATACTTACTAGTTGCATTAGCTGTTGTTTTAATGTAGCGTATGGAAGAATCCTTCGTTCTCTGATAAGTTCATTATCTTCATTCATTTCAAGTGGATGTGGTCTGAATACTAGCTCTATCTCACCGATTCACTGGGGCCTTCAGCTCTTCCCCTGGGTTACCATCATTACTCGAGCCTGCCCCAGACTCATTTTCAGACGTTCTCCGAGGCTTTTTCACCCTGGGCCCGACTGTTGAAGATGCGCATTTGTTGGAGCAGTGGCATTAGTAGCTGCTGCAGCATTCGTTGGAGTTGTGGCATTTACACTGCTAATATTAGTAGTTGTCGGGGTACTTGGAGGTTCACTGGGAGTGGGAGTGAGGGGGGCTGATGGAGTGGGTGTTGGTGTGGTGCCTTCATCTTGCATGGCTTTACGATTCTTCTGGCGACTCTGGATCTGAAGCTTGATGCCTTCTTCAATTGACGTAATCAGAGAGGCATGATTATGATTTTTATTAAGCTTGGCAAATACTCGTTCCTGATGTTGCTCGTATTCATCACGACTTGGGTATATCTTGGAAATCAGTGTGTCAAAATTTGGATCAGGTCGTAATGACCTCTTCGATACTAGTTTTTTACGGCACGTTGGACATTCTTTGTTACCCGATCTTAATGCTGTGATGATACATTCCTGAAAGTGAAAATATTTTATTAAAACCATGTCTTTAACAACCTAGTACAGTACAGCAGACCAATCATAAAATTACTCCTAAAGTAATAACTGTAATCTACATATATAGCGGGTGAATAGTGCTGACTGAATTCACAAATTGACGTTATCCTGTTTCAGATATTGAGTTGATAGTGTGAATGATGAGTGATATCTGAGCACCTCTGGCAAGACAACTACTGAATGATTGATGGTGTGTGTGTGTCCACTGGGCCACTAGTACAGTGGACCCCCGGTTAACGATATTTTTTCACTCCAGAAGTATGTTCAGGTGCCAGTACTGACCGAATTTGTTCCCATAAGAAATATTGTGAAGTAGATTAGTCCATTTCAGACCCCCAAACATACACGTACAAAAAGCACTTACATAAATACACTTACATAATTGGTCGCATTCGGAGGTAATCGTTATGCGGGGGTCCACTGTATATGGTTTCTCTGAAAAGTTCTTACTGAACAAAGCACAGAAAGTTTATCGTAAAATTCAATTACCAAGGTCAATACAAAACCGGATCAACCAACCTGACAAAAACGGTGAAGGCATTCCTTTGTGGTCATAGTATTCTTTAGCATGTCGAGGCATATTGGACACATGAGTTCCGAGTGAAGGGAGCGTGGGGAGACGGCGATTTCTGTATTGTCAGTTATAGCTTCTTGCGGTGTTCTGTGTAGTTCATACAACGAGAGTTCCCAGGATTTATTAACAGCATTTTGTTCTGTAGTTGTCATGACTTGTACTGAAATCCTCACCAAAATTAAATAATCTAGTTTATGGCCATACTCCTGTGCCTTGAAATTACAGCAAGCAACCAAACTTCTGAAATATATTAAACCTATTAGCATCAATATAAAAAAAAATTCTGGTAAAATAATGAGTTTAAGACCCTCATTTTTCATGAATATTACAACTTTTGCTGCATGAGACAAAATTACAGAACTAATTTTACAATGTGGATGGTTATTATTATCCTGCATACAGATGAAAAACACTAAACCCATGTGGGTTACTGTGATAAACACCAGTATACTCTATCCTATTCAATGTAACTTCATTTGACTTATGTAGCTGCACCTTTTTTTTGTAAATATAATTAATTCATATTGGTGGAACAAGGAATGGCAGCATCAAGAGTAAAGTGGATCACTACCTCTGTGGAGTGGTAGATCATCCAGACTGTGATGGATATGTGGGCCAGCTGGCTGCCAACAGCAACAGTCTGGCTGACTTGGCAATCAACAGAGAAACCTGGCTGTGAGAGTAGCAAAGCTCTCTAAATTGGTCACATTTATATAACAGGTATATTAATCTAAGTGTTTAATTACAATAATATTTCAAGGAGTTTACCCACTCTGCCTCATGGGAGTGTAAACTGCTGTTTAAACTACTAGTGAAATAATCCAACATGACATGTTAAATGACTAGTACAAGTGATGTCAATGTGTCCTACATACTAGTTTGCTTTTGACAATTTTCTATGCCTTTAAATAAACCAGCAGTCAGTATTTTTGACCTTAGCACAACTCATTGGGTCTTCTACAATCTTTTCAAGCCTTTGAAAAACTCTAAGGCCAGATGGGTCCACACAGTCCATCATGGTTAACTACACAGGTGATAACTTTGTGTTTGATGTACTAGTATGTCTAATTACCAAGCATAAGTAAACAATGAAGCCAGAACCTGATGTTTCATCACCAGCTGCCCTACCAGCAGTATGTAGAACTGCATGGGAAATGACTTATTCAGTCCAAATTTATTACAATTTCATAATATTAACAGTGGAATTCAGCTACAAAGCACACTATGTAGATTTAACCAAGAATAACCCAATGTCAAACAATCTGACTTATTTCCTTGTTTCAAAGAGAGCATTCCTTGAAACAATTGTAATATCATAATATTTTCTTGTAAATATATGTGGCCTTCAAGGTACACAGGTGTTATAGCCTGGGTGGAGTCAGAGGAAAACCTAATATTAACTTGAATACAGAAGTGCCTCTAAGACAAAATTTCTTAATGGAAAAAAGATAGATTGCCTCAAAGGCCCAAGGAGTAAGCCTGGGCCAAGATATTGTAACACTAGATCATGAGATCAAAGGAAACCATAATAATTGAGTGATTATAGCAAATATATTGTGAACATAGGTACCCCAGTGCATTAAGGGGTTGATAGTAGAATGACCCCTACAAAAACCAAATTGACAAGGGTAAACATAATTATCGGTTTCTAAATACCATAATAAAAGTATGGTAACTAAATGTCCTAACAACTTACAAGCTGCACTATTAGGAACATGGGTCTGTAGTGAGAGGTGTCACAGCTTGAAAAGCCTGGATAATGAAAAGGAAGGAAGGACAAGGGTGATTTTCCAATGAAGGAGAACTCCTGAGAGTCAAACCAGACTGAAGAGACATAAGAGGATGATAAGTGTTTTGGGGTGGGTTGAAACATACAGACACTGATGCCATGTACCACTTGCCCAAACAGACATGGGCTGCAGTATAAGAGAGAATACGAATAAGACAACCTAGCCAGCTCGGAGGCACACACTCCACTTTCGTAATTTGCAATTATCCTTTAAACTGTCCAAACATAGATCTACGTTTGCGCGCGTAGCGCTTCGACCTTGATTTTCTCCATAATAATGTAAAAAAAAGTAGGTCTACGCTCGGAGTGCTATGCAAGTGAACATAGATCTATGTTTGGACAGTTTAAGGGTTAAATCCCACTTAAGTGAAGATCAATGATTCAGTTCTAAGTATTAATACATACTTAAATTTTGCCATTGTTCATTTAGCTACCTCTCATTTTTGTATATTTAAAAACTCCTACTTAATAACAGATGTCTAGTTCTTAAGTAGTCTTTAAGCATTAAGATTAGCCTGCTCAAAATGCACAGGATGCTACTGGCTTTCTTTTGTGCTCGACAATATTTTATTACATACATACGTACATATAAACTACATTGCCTGTATACTGCAGAAAAGAAATTTATCATTATCATAAAAACCAACCTAGAGAACACCTCAAATAGTTAATTTACACCAAACACAAGAGTTTTGCTTTTCCCAGCACGCACCATGTGAGGCATGATTTTCTTTTATCATGTGCACACTATCCGCACACATCCAATCTCTCATTCTAAGCCAAAATCTACTGCTCACAGCTTATCTAAGTGAGCTGAGCTCTTGATGTAAATCTACATGATGAACCCTGGCACCAATAACATAGTCTGACATAACAGACAGTGAAAGGATTAAAAGTTACAATTATTCCTTATGTTACAATGGTTTTATATTTTATATACTTACATTATAAATATTTATTGTTACATATTTTATGTGAAGCTTTATCACTATTCAACTGTCAAAAATAAGAAGAACCTCAGAGGAAATATTTATAAAGAAATCTAAATGAAATGCTGCAAGAGATATGTATGTGTAAAATTTTAAGAAAAACTCAAATATTAGCTGTGCTCAGAGTACATTATTATACTAAAATGATGAATTAATAAAAGCAACAAGGTCTTGTGTGCACAGTGACCTGCTGAGTGAGGCAGGAAGCAGAACCAGTCAGCAGCAGCACCAGTCACTTGTACTACTGCCGTATGAACCAGGCAGCAGCAGCAGTAGTCACTTGTACTACTGCTGTATGAACCAGGCAGCAGCAGCACCAGTCACTTGTACTACTGCTGTATGAACCAGACAGGAGCAGCACCAGTCACTTGTACTACTGCCGTATGAACCCGGCAGC